TGAGTTTCATGACAAGTTCCCTTTAATTGGTGCCCTTGTATAAAAATCTTTAAAGGATGCCAAGGCACGTGGGGGGCCTGCTGGTTTTTCCTTCTATATAATGAGATTTTTGTACTATCCGTAAAATCTTGAAGTTCATTGAGGAACACAGGAATTCTGATACCGTTGAGTTATACTTCCACCTACAGGAGGTTGGGGTACCTTTAGCATAACCCCTCCTCTACCCAACATGTCTCGATTTTGTGGCACTACAGGCAAAAAAACACATCGGCGTGGGATCTGTTTCCCTCAACGGACTACAAGAAACGGAGTTTACGGTACAAAAATGTTCTTCCTCGTTTATTGAAGTTCACAAGTTCCCTGATACAGTCAAGGTGTCCAACGGCAGGCCAACTGAGCGATGGGCAACACAGCAAAGATGACAGGCCTCATTGGGAGGACTGGGGACCGCCTGCAGTCCAAGAGTCACTTGAAGGACCAATGCCTGAATCTGAAGGAATTAGATGAACCCCTATTAGAAAGGTAGAGCCTGACCACACTACCAGAAGGAGAGCTCAGAGGGTCAACCTGATGCTCCAGACCAGGATGGTCACCACCACAGAGGAAGACTTTGCCCGGGCACATGCTGAACAATCAGTTAAAAAAAAACAGGTGAACCAATAAGAAACTTCCGACAGGAAACAAGGGACTGAAAATGTGATGTGGTCGACCAAACAAAACCCCGGGAGGAACAACTATTTAATGATAAAAGGCCCGCACTAAAAAAAATTGGAGCAAGAGAAAGGATGTCAACCATCCTCCTAAGACAGTAGAAAAAACTGAGGCATGCTGGGTAGAGGAGGAGTTACACTAGGGGCTGGCTTATTGTTTGTTTGTTATTTTGCCAGTGTCCACCATGCCTCCTGTAGGTGGCAGTATAACCTGACTGTATTAGAATTCCTGAATGAGAAAGACATACATTGTGCACACCGACCTCCATCTTCCACCCTTATTTGCTGATCATTTTCATATTAAGAAAACTTCTTAGTTATGGATTTCCCTCCAAAAGGTGCTGCAGACGCGAATAAAAAACAAACAAAAAAACGAGGCGTGGCTTTTCCTTTCTACAATTTTCACAGAATAGTCCTCTTCGCCATTCCCGTTTGTCCCACCGATAACAGAATTTACAGGCCCAGTAATAAACAAAGCTACAAACATGCAAGGTAAGAAAGGCGGCGTGCAGACAGGGACGCAGGCAGTCAATGAAGTTTGAGGCTCTGGCGGAGGTCATACAAGCCTTGTTGAGGCACTGGGTGGATCTAGCTGGAAAGGTGGGTCTAGCACCATGTTATGGACTCTATATCAGAAGGCCACACAGAGCGGGACGCAGCAGGGCCGGGCAGAGGGCGCTTACATCAGCAGGATGGCCAGACTTGGCGAAAAACAAAACTGCGCAGGCAAGGCACAGCAGGCTACATTCACCCCTTGTGCTCCTGCCACTACAGCAGATGACAATTTTTTATTAAATTCCCAGGAGGAAGGTGCTAGGCAGAGACGCACAATGTCTGTATGAGGCTGCCACCGAGCAGTGCAAAAAATATTTACATTCAGGAAGAACGCTCCTCTGCGGACAGCCGAGACAGTAATGGATGCACAGTTTGGTTGGGGATGGTCCAGGTGAAGCATAGCGGTAAGCGGGGCCCCGCTGCGCCCATAACAGTCAATGTCACATGATAAAGCCTTAGGGTGGTGGCGGGTCGCTCAGCAGGAGCTGGTCTGCAGATTGCTCTCCGTCAGCAGCGAGGTTATAGAACTTGGGTCGTACGGGTGGTCAAATTCACCATCGGAGCTCAAGTCGTCGTCGGCAGCGTGACGCACCGGCTTTCGCCTGCGAACGACATCAAGAAATGTGGACTTCAGGAGTAATATTATGATGTCATACATTTTATGAGTCATAGAAGGAGGAGGAGGGGAGATGTATTGAGGATCAAGGAAGGAGAGGGGATGTTCAGAGAAACAAGGAAGGAGACGAGGGGGGGGG